GTGGTTGAAAATCATGAGAGAGAGTAAAGACAATTTCATCCATATAATGGGGGGCAGGGGAGTGATTTAGGCCCTTGTTTGCCCTATAATACATCAAGATCTCAGCAGGGTTTAGTTCTTCTGAAAAATGTTTTTAAACCATAAATGAGGCTTTCAATGGAAGTTAATTTCAACTTAAAAAAACCAAACACACTCCCGTCAAGTCGGACCTGACCTATAACAACCCCTCCTTAGGTTTCCGAGGCATTATCACTATGAAAGTGGATTGCCCAACCTTCTTTCCAGGAAGTGGCTGGTAGGTTTAAACTGCCAGCCTTCTGGTTAGCCTTAGGCACTATGCTACCAGAGCTCCCATTTTCAACTTATTAACACCTAAATATATCTGAGCCAAAAGGCAATGGGTCAGCTTTCAGAAAGCTGTAAGAAAAGGCAATGGCAGCTCGGACATTCTCTGATACTCAGGGAAGCCTCAGTGTTCAAAGATATTTGCAATCTTACAGGAACATTTATTAACAAATCGTTTACTAGTCACCAATGAGGAATCATAGCAACTCCGTGTATATCATAGTAAAACTGTGCTCCATAGAGTTTTCAATGGCTGGTTTTAGATTGCCAGATCTTTCTTCCCAGGTACTTTTTTGTGGACTTGAACTGCCACATTTTGGTTAGCAGTCAAATTTGTTAACCATTTGCATCACCCACAGACTCCAGAAAACTTTTAGGATTCTGGCTTCCTTCCTTACTGAGCAGTGGTTGTAACCATAGTTTCTAAGACATTAAAATGTGGTTAAAAACCAAGGTAAAATAAAGGGAGAAAAAAAACAATTTTGATGGGATCTCTGTCCAAATTAGAGCTCTCTGGATCAGAATGATACAGAGGGCTAGTAGGCAAGTGGTGAGTAATTTCCAGATGTTTCAAGAACACAGAGCATCTTGAGTGGTGGTGAGAATCAGCACTCAGTGATCAATAGATGGTAGATACACTTGTATTTGCCCTCATGCAAATGATGACAGTTGAGTGTTTTTTCTTCACATTGTGGCAGCTTTCACATACTCAGTTGAGAGAGGGCAGGCCTGAGGTTTCTGGTAGACACTTCCCTGACTAGGGTAATGTCTTTTATTGGGAGGGGATACATTTTTGGGACCAAGGCACATTTATGAGGTCATACACATCCCAGTCTCCACAGCACTTCTTGCCTCTTCCAACTAATTTAATTCACACTAATGTATTTTTTTTTTTTTTGGCTGTAATTTATTTACTTATTTATTTTTGCAGTGTTCCCTCCCCTGCCCCCTCCTCCTGCTAACCAACATGGAAATTTTCTTCAGTATATAAATTGTTTCTTTTTTTACAATAATGAACTAATACAGTATTTGTCCTTCTGTGGTTGACTTATTTCACTCAGCATAATGTCTCCCAAGTTCATCCACGTTATGTGGTGCTTTGTAGATCCTACTTTATTCTTTAGTGTTGCATAGTATTCCATTGTATGTATGTACCATAATTTAGTTATCCATTCTTATTCTTCTGTAGATGGGCACCTAGGTTGTTTCCATCTTTTTGCTATTGTAAATAGTGCTGTGATGAACACAGGTGTGTGTATATCTGTTCTTGTCCTAGCTCTCTCTTCTTTAAGATATATACCTAGTAATGGAATTGCTGGGTCAAATGGTATTTCTAGTGCCAACTTTTTAAGGAATCACCATACTGCTTTCCACAGTGGTTGTATCATTTGACAGTCCCACCAGCAGTGTATGAGAGTCCCAATCTCTCCACAGCCTGACTAGCATTTGTTATTTTCTGTCTTGTTGAATTTTGCTTTTAGGTATGGGGCAAGATAGTATCTCGTTATTGTTTTGATTTGCATCTCTCTAATGAAGGCAGTGAGTTTTATAATAGCTAATGATCGTGAACATTTCTCCATGTGTTTGTTGGCTGCCTGAATATTCTCTTTAGTGTAATTCACACTAATTTAATCCACTGATTAGAACACTGACTCCCAGCCAGCCTCACCTGTCCTGCAGTCTTAGAATGATCTGATCTTTCCCTTGGGTGGATGCTGTTTGCCTGGGATAAATGAGTGATGGAGGATTACTTGAGATTGCTTGAGCAGCCTCTCATTTCCCAATAGTGAAGTTACCTGTTTGGCTACTCTAGTTTACTCCTGGAGGAGGTTAGCTCACCCTTGCTGCTCAGAGCAGAACAACAGGCCATCATTTGGTGAAGGAATGGCAATATTTGGGAAAGTACTTTCTTACAAGTATACCTTGTATACAAGACACAGGTTGCCAAGTATACTTATAATCCTGAATTTCTCCTCCATACATTAGGATCAAACATTCTGTCTGTCATAAGAGGAGAAAAAAAAAAAAAAAATCAAACAGGAAAACAGTTAAAAATTTGTTTCAAAGATATTGTGAGACCTCACCAAATTGGTTGCTACTCACCAAATAGGATGTAGAACAAGACTTGTATGTACTATGTTGTGCCAATTGAACTTGATCTCCCCTGAGACCATGGTCCAGAGCCAGAAGCCCAGTGACTCTCTCCCTCAAGGTGTTTGGTGTCTCTAAGAAGCTACTTCAACCTTGTTCCATGTTACTTCTGTAATGTATATGGGTATTTTTGTAGCACAAATATATATGTAAAAATATCTTCAGCCAAAGATATCATCAAAAAGATTAAAAAAAAAAAAGATAATTGTTTTGGCTCCTGTGTATAGCACGTAACAGTAAGTCATACATTCTAGAGTGTCTTGGAAAAGAATGCCTGCAATGTCAAGTTGCAAAGAAATACTGGATTAAAATCAAACTGTGATCTATGACAGTGTTCCAAGAAACACGAAAAGAATTCAGCTTTCAATCAGGGAGCATTTCTCATGTACCAGGGAAAAATGTCACCTATACCACATGATCTCAGCAAAATTTACTTTCATTTCTTCTTTTTCTTATAAAGCATGAAGAATGTAGCATGTTGTAATTTCTTAACTGAAGAGTTGGAGACTTAACAACTCTGCCTCATAAAAAAAATTGAGAAAAAAGTTTAGTATTTATATTTTAGGGAGTTTAAAGCTGTGTGGGTATATATCTTTTCTTTATTAAGTAGAAAAGAAATTCTTTATTTACTCCCTACCTAAAACATTTGGGTAGTCAAGCATTTGAAATCACCTGTAGTGAAGAGTCAAAGCAATCCAAAACTTTATTTAAAAAATAAACCCACAAAACCAAACCAAACCCAGTACTATCAAGTCAATTCTGACTCATAATGACCCTATCAGACAAGAGTAGAACTGCCCCATAGGGTTTCGAATGCTTTAAATCTTTTTGAAAACAGACTGCCCAGTCTTTCGCCCATGGAGACAGGGTGGTGGGTTTGAATGTCAACCTTCTGGTTCCTGTACTTCGTACTTCATAAAAGGAATTTTAAACTAGGCCATCTTCCAACACCACTGCAAATATACTGAAATGTTCAGGTTATTCATAATAAGGTGAAGGGGCAATAATTGGCTCTTACCTGGGCTTCTTTCACGATCCCATTCTGACTGCAGTTTCCACTTTGTGAAGAGTTGTTCTGTTTCTTCTGATTGTGAAGATTCCCATTGCAAACAGCACCACCTCCAGGATTAGCCATTTGTGTGAAATGATGGAGCCCTGGATGTTTGTCTCCAGAGGATCTCGGCAAGATTTTAGTTTGCAAGTTGGTGAGGAAGTGGGATAAAACACTTCAGGGACTGAACCTTTGAAGGAATCCTGCCAATCAAGCTTTTCCAGAAGAAGAGCAACAGCCTATCTTTTTGCCGGATCTTTGAAATGAAAAACAAACTGTCACCTTTGCACTCCTTAACTCCAAAGAGTTAGAATGTGGACTCCATGGCAACAAACCTGCTTCCAGGAAGACCAACAAGGGTGACTATGCTGGCTTCCAGTGTGGAGTGAAGAAACCAGGAGACTGAAAAAACCCGTGGCAAACTGTAAGGAGGCGGGTTTAGAGGTAGAGAATCTTTTAAAGACACACACACACACACATCTTCTAAGGAAAGTCAGTTCCGAATTAACAGCCACCCACTATATAACCCCCTTCCCTCATACATCTAATTCCATTTTTTTGGTTTTCATCCAAGTTCAAAATCAACATTTCTTTTTGCAGAAAAATAACATTTAAAACCTACCAATCTTTAAAACCAGTAATATAATCAGGGGTACCAAACCATCAAGTATTTCAGTAAGACAAAATCTGGGAGATAGAATATTTGACTTAAGTCATGATTTCATTTCTTTTTATCATTTGATCTTGGGGGAGTCATCTGCTCTCTTTATGCCTCACCTTCTCCACCTATGATATGTAAATTTTGGTGGACTAAATCTGAGGGCATAGTTGAAAAATAGAATCATGACATGGATTTTTATTGACACAGGTGTATGAGATATATGGTGACTATAGGGACTAGTTCAGAAACACTTTTGGTTTACTTATTAACTCTTATTCTCTAAGTGCACCAGTCATCATATATCTGCTTTCATCATCTAATGGTATTGTGGTGACATGGTCTGCTGGAGATTGTCAATCATTGACAGCCAGTTTGAGTCCTCTAACCCCACTCTCATGGCTCCCCTGAATCAAAACTTCTTTGATATCAAGCATCTAGAACGAAGCACATTTATTCAGTTGATGGACAAACAACAGTAGTAACAAACATAAAAACAGAAATGACCTCCTTTTCTGGTTCTCAGTTCTCTTGGGCAAGAGCTTGTTTCCCCTACAGAATGACGTGGCTTACAGAAGAAAGAGGCAATAATAATACTTCTCTTAATCACGATTTGCATGGAAGGATCTTGGGCCAAATGATGGCATGGAATTTATAAGTGCATTCAATCTGGTTCTGTCTCAGGTATAGAATTCATACTACAGCTCTCCCAATCTTTGACATCAGAGCAGAACTTGCTTTTCTTTTCTTTTTGTTTTTTTAGATGAAATAATTATCTTCTTTATTTATTTAAATTGTGCTTTGGGTACAAATTTACAAAGCAGATTTGTTTTACATTCAACAATTCATACACATTTGACTTCATGGCCCTGATTACCACCCCCAACCATAAAAATTTTTCCTGCTCTCTCCTCCCTGTGACTACCCCCTCCCTGTGCCCCTTATT